ATTAGAACTCACCTCAAAAATTTCAATGAAAAGGTTGTTTTGCAGCCCAAATATCCTCAAATTGATGATCTCGACATCTAGATGCATAGACATGAGAAAAAATTTGATTTCAAGTTATGTAAATGGTGCATCTTGTAACCCATTTTTTTTCCGTCAATTTTCAAGATTTCCAAGTTTTCATAGATCTGATCGATCTACACTATTTTTTAAGATTTAAATTTTATAATTAAAAGTGAAAATATATTTTAAGGTTATCACAAAGACTTTCAGTATTAAAACCATATTTCTCAACACTATATGAATGTACGCTTTACTTTGATTGTTTAGAGCCTCGGCTCTATACAAACCGCACCCTATTTAAAAATCCATGAGTTTTTTTTTACATATCAGTTTTACATGAAATTTGGGGTGTTCTCTCGCCTTATTAAAGGCACCTAAAAAAAAGTTAAAAATAATAAAAATACGAACAAAATACCAGGGAAATTTTAATTATCTATCATTTATGCCCCAAATTTTATTGCAAAATGATTTTTAAAAATAAAAATAAAGTATTGAGACCCTCGTAAGCTTAACTTCTAACGTCATGCTTGATGTTATCCAAACCTTCCATTCAAATTAGATTGCCGGAAATAAGTATTTGAGTGGCACCACATAAAATTTTTTTTTGTTGTATTTTAAAATCCATGGTTTTCCTTAGTGTCTAAGCTTACTAAACTTCTAATATTTACAACAATATGAAGCTAAAAGAGGAACCTGCATTGACCTTGACCCACTTTTTTTTTTCTAAAGTTCAGCCTGCGCTCTCTAAATCTCTACATCAATTTTCACTGTGCCCACTATTGAAGGATGCCTTCGCCTTTTAAAAGGTGTAATGGTGTTTTAAAATCTACTGATCTGGATCGGAAATCACACTTCTAGATTAGGAATTGATATTTCAAGAAAGGTTCTGGCACCGACATGACCCTTCCTAAAATTCATTGCCTAATTGACTTGACCTAAATTACTGTATTTATTTGAGTGTGGTTTGTATAAGGCCGAGGCTCTAAACAATCAAAGGCGCACATTCAAAAAATATTGAAATATGTTGTTTCCGTCCTGGAAATCTTTGAGATGGCTTGAAAATCTATTTTAATATCAAATTATCAAATTTAAAGCTTTCAAAATAATATAGGTTGAGCAGATCGATGAACATTTGAAAGTCTTAAAAATTGACGCCCAAAAAATGATAGTAAAATCTATTCCATATTCAAAATTTCATTTCATGGTGACGATTTATATTCAAAATATATCTTGATTCAAAATATGAATTTCATATGATTGTCAACAAAAAAAAAATCAAATTTTGAGTTTCTAATACAACCCATATCCAAGATTATATCCACATTTTATAATTTAAAGGGTGCAGTTTGTGATCATGAGGTTAACAAATGGGAAAAAATTGGTGGGTCGCCTCTCTCTCCAAATACTTTTTTCTGTTAAAATACTTTATTTAGTACTTTTCTTTTTAAAATACTTTGTGTTTAAAATTTCAATTCCAATTTCTTTTGTGTCAACATATGAAATTTGACCCCAAAATCTGCGTTTGAGTTAGATTTGTCTTTAAGGACATTGCGTTTGAATAATTACTCTTTTATATGCGTGTGGTTTGTATGAGGCTGAGGCCCTAAACAATTAAAGTAAAATGTACTTTCAAATAATGTTGAGTATAATGTTTAAGTATAATAAATTTTTATGATGGTATGATAATTTATCTTCATCTCAAATTGTAAAATTTAAAGATTAAAAAATAGTGTAGATTGACCAGATCTATGAACTCTTAAAAATCTTGAAAAATGACAATCTAGATAATATATTGCAAGATGCATTATTTTTATATTTTTTCTTATGTTCATATATCTTGAGATCGAGATGCTCGACTTGAGGGGTTTTTAGCATAAAAATAAACTCTTCTAATGAATTTTTGGTGCGTACCTTAATTTGATTGCTTAGGGCTTCACCCTTATATAAACTTTTTCCCTTATATAGATATATATTGTCTAGAGTCTAGAGTTAACAACCCCTCAAAATGTAAAGGTTAATTTTAGAAGGGGTTGTGATGTTGTATTTACAAAAAAAAATCGTTACTTTTTATTTAAAAAATATTTTAATAGATAACTTAATCATTATGCAATAATAAATTTGAAATTTTTATAAAAGTACAATAGCATTTTTGAAGTTAGTGTCTTATAATTTTAATTTTATTTGTAAAATACATTTGTCTTTTAGTAAAAAATTTAATTTTATCCCTTATGAAATGACAAAAGTACAACTTGCCTTTTAGTGATATTTAAAAAATGGAAAATGCTTCTATGCTTCCCATACAGTATAGAAGTTCTATCATCCCCATACGATCCAA